TCAGTTGAACTGTCGAGGGATAGAAAACGACCTCACAGTTCGACGCCTTACGAAGATGTGTCAGAAGCATCGCCCAGCATTTGTGTTTCTCTCTGAGACGAAGAATAGGAGGCTTTTGTTGCAAGACATTCAGGCCAACTTAGGATTTGATCGTTTGTTTACCGTTGAGCCACTTGGACTTAGCGGAGGTTTAGCTTTATTTTTTATGGATGAATTTCAAGTTAATGTTTTATTTTCAAATAACAGAATGATTGACATTGAGGCAGTCATTGATGGAATAAAAGTCTTTATGATGTTTGTTTATGGGGACCCTGTATTAGAACGAAGAGATTTAGTTTGGGAACGTCTTACGCGTTTTTCAACAACACGAAATGGACCCTGGTTTATGATAGGTGATTTTAATGAAATTACCTGCCATGAGGAGAAGGAAGGCGGCAGACAACGCTCAGATAGTTCTTTCCTACCATTCATGCAAATGATGAGTGACTGTGGTATGATAGATTTTCCTTTCACGGGAAATATGCTATCTTGGGCTGGGAAAAGAGCAGGGAGAGATACGGTTATATGTCGTCTTGACAGAGCTGTTGGGAATGAGGACTGGCATGAGAAGTTCCCACATTCAAAAGTCAAATACATGAGGCTCTGGGGATCGGATCATCGTCCAATCTTAGCAGACATCCTCAGAAAGAAACCGAGGAGATCAAAAAAATTTAAATTTGACAAGAGATGGTTAGACAATGAGGAGCTCAGGCAAATCATTCTTAAGGGGTGGAAATCACCAGATTTACCACCCAATGCAAGTATTATGTAGCACATAGCAAGTTGCAGGAAAGCCTTAAGTAACTGGAATAGACAATATAATCTGAATGCTGAAAGGAGTGTGGAGGAGCTGAAAGAAAAGGTCGATCAATTATCATCTAACGATGATGCCACTACCGAGGAGATTGCGGAAGCCTTAAAGGAATTATCTGACGCTCTTAAGGTGGAGGAAATGTTCTAGAAGCAGAAATGTAGGGTGTTTTGGTTAAGAGAAGGGGATAAGAACACAAAAAAATTTCACGCCCTAACAAAGCAGAGAAGAGCAAGGAACAGGATTACACAATTACTAGATGAAGATGGAAATATTGTTGAGGACGAGGAAGGACTTGTAGCCATTTCTACAAGCTATTTTTAGACATATATTCCAATCATCAAATCCGGAGGAGATAGAGGAAGCACTATCTGAAGTAACCATGACCATTACATCAGCGGATAATGATAGGTTAACGGCACCAATCACTGAGTGGGAGATTAAGCTGGCTTTGTTCGCGATGCACCCAGAAAAAGCCCCTCGGCCAGATGGGATGACAGCGCTTTTCTATCAAAAGTACTGGGATATTGTAATGGATGATCTAACTCTTATGGTTAATCAATTCATGTTTGAAGGCACGTTGCCTCCTGGTCTAAATGGTACAAACATATGTCTCATCCAGAAAGTAGATAAGCCAAATCAGATGAGTCAACTACGTCCTATTAGCTTATGCAATGTTAGCTATAAGATAGTCACTAAGGTCTTATGCCAGAGATTGAAAAATTATTACCAGATCGGATTTCCGAAACCCAGTCAGCCTTTGTTGCTGGGAGACAGATATCTGACAACATTATGATTGCTCAGGAGATGTTTCATGCTTTACGGACAAAACCAAGTGGACGCAATAAGAGGATGGACATTAAAACATATATGAGTAAGGCATATGATCGAATGGAATGGTCTTTCATCGAGGCTACAATGAGAAAGATGGGGTTCTCGGAAATCTGGATATCCTGGATAATGCGATGTGTCAAATCAGTAAAGTATTAGGTTCTTATGAATGGCCAGCCAAGGGAGAATATTGTTCCGGAGAGAGGTCTTAGACAGGGGGATCCTCTGTCCCCTTTCATTTTTATTCTATGCACGGAAGCGCTCGTTAGCCTTCTAAATTACGCAGAGAATCAAGGGAAGATAACGGGGATGCGCATCACGCGTGTGTGTCCCTCGGTCTCACCTTCTCTTTACTGATGATAGCCTATTTTTTTTGTAAGGTAGAGCCCCGTGAATGTGAAGAAGTGATGAAAGTTGCCAAAAAATATGGACAAGCTTCAGGACAATGTATTAATTTCGACAAGTCATCTCTACTCTTCAGTAAGAGAATAGGACATGAGGTCAGACAAGAGATCAAAGACACTCTTGGGATTCAGAATGAAGGAGGAATGGGAACATATTTAGGAATTCCAGAGGACATAAGCGGGTCTAAATGCAAACTTTTTGCATTGTTAAAAGATAAGTTAAGGAATCGGGTGAATGGATGGACGGGCCGATAGTTATCAAAGGGTGGTAAGGAGGTTATGATCAAATCGATCTTGTTAGCACTCCCAACTTATGTAATGTCATGCTTTCTTCTCCCCTTGGAGATATGTGATGCTCTAGCTAAATTCTGGTGGAGTTCGAATCCCCCTAAAAGAGGCATACATTTGTCAACATGGGATAAACTATGTTTATCTAAAGAGGAGGGAGGGATTGGGTTCAGAATGATCCACAAGTTTAACTTAGCATTGTTAGCGAAGCAGTTATGGAGGTTGGTACAATTTCCAGACTCTTTGGTAGCTCGAGTATTACGAGGCCGATATTATAGACTGAGTTCGCCTTTGCGTCAGTTGAATGTTAGTTCCCCTTCTTATGCGTGGACAAGTTTATCGGCGGCCCGAGAATTACTTGTGTTGGGTGTTAGACAAAAAATACACGCGGGCTATGAAGTAAAAGTTTGGGAGGATCCATGGATTCCTACCATCCCAGCAAGACCAGCACTACCTTTGGCACCAGTTCTACACCCGAATTTGAGAGTGAGTGACCTTATTAATCAGGAAACAAAGTCTTGGGATATAAATCGGTTCCAGAATTATGTGGATGCTGCTGACATACCTCTCATAAGGAGTATGGCAATTAGCTCAACACATCGTAGAGACACGTATTGCTGGAGCTATACCAGAAATGGGCAGTACACAGTCAAATCTGGATATTGGGTTGCACAGAACATATTGATGAAGGAGGAGGAAGGAGCTGTCTCTGAACCTAGCCTCACAAAACTACAAGCACATGCTTGGAAGGTCAAGGCGCCTCAGAAGATGTGTCATCTTATGTGGCAAATGATAACAGGACATATGGCTGTTACAAGTACCTTGAACCATAGGCATATGAGATGTGATAATCACTGTCCACGGTGTGGAGAACCAGATGAATCAGTTGCACATGCGATTTTTCAGCGCCCACTTGCGCTGCAAGTATGGGCCTTATCCTCTACGCCTTCAAACTCTGTTATGTTTCCACTTCAGAGTACGTACGCGAATATGGACTATCTCTTCTGGAGGAAGAATACCATAATAGAACCAGAATTGGACAGGGACCCTTATCCCTGGTTAATTTGGTATATCTGAAAGGCCCGAAACGATAAGTTGTTCAGAGGGATTGATAGAGATCCTTTGAAGATGGCCCGTTACTCAGAGAGTGAATGTCAAGCCTGGTTCAAAGCTAATGAACAGGTGACTCTGCCACCCCAGGAAACCATCGATGTTAAAAACCAGGCCAGAAGTTTGGGGAACATTTGTCTGGTAGACGGTTCTTGGACCTCTACAGATCAGCTTAGTGGATGTGTTTGGGTTTGGATTGATAGCAAGGGAAAGAGTCAGTTAATGGGTATGCACAACTTTAGTAGAGTGGAGTTTGCTCTGCATTATGAGCTGGAAGCACTTCGGTGGGCAATGGAGAACATGCTTCAACATTCGCCATGTCAGAGATTTGGGACAGACTGCAAGGAGATGATAGCGATGCTAAGAAATCCTCAAGACTGGCCAAACTTCTCAACGGAGTTGGAAAAGCTATCGACGCTGCGGATCTGCTTTCCCGATTTCAAGATTTCCTATGTTCCCAGGACACAAAATGTTGTGGCCGATTCTTTAGCTAAATCATCTCGAGTCTTTTATCGCGAACTTTTGTAAGTTGGTTGTTCTATTCCGGTCTGGTTCCCCAGACCACCTCAAGTTTAAGTAATAGATTAGCCTTTTGATGTTAAAAAAAAAATACGACGGGAATGATGATTGGATTTTTGGTGTGTTTCATATTTTTAAAGAGTTATGATTGGTCAAGGAAAGAGATAATGAATTGTTAAATAAGTCAACTAAATTTAGGTGGTTTGGTAATGTTATTAATCATGGTTTAGGCTAGATAAAAAGTTTTTTTTTCTACAGACCTTAAAAATAGGAATTATATTTTGACTGTCCTTGATTGTAGGTGACAAATCAGATTCACATCGCTCAGTATGTACTTTGGCAAACCGGATTTATATTCTTATGATAGGTCATACTTTTAATCTATATAAACCGAAAGGACATATATGATTTTCTGATTTAAAAATTTTACATGATAAAGAATTCCTTGTGTTTACAAATTACAATGGTAAATAAACTGCAGGAAAACTTTAGTCGTAGGAAAATAAGGTGTTCTAGTTTTGAATTGAATTTTAGTTGACTGAATATTTGATAATTTTATTGTTTAGGTCGAAAATATATGTAATGGAATAATGGAGCGGTTAACGGCAGGAAACAAAGATTGGATAAGTGAAAACTTTCCAAATTTTGCAAAAAGTTACTATTGGTTAAGGGTATTAGTGATGATAGATTATATAATCAAATTGAATTAAGGTGGTTTGAATTTAGATAACTTAGAGGCCAAATTTCCACACCAAAAAAAAAAAAACTTATTTATTTAGAGTCTTATGTCTTCTCTCCATTTTCGCTTGGTTTGGATTGGACAATAGAAAATAAAAATAAAAAGGAAGTGAAAGATATTTTGGCAGAAATAAAATATATATTTGTGTCGGGTCCATTTATTTAAAACGAACACTTGGTGGCCAAGGCTATTTCTCTGGTATTAATGGAGAAGATGAACCTTACGTCAACTCTTCCACTAGATTCCTTTTTTAACATCCATGTCTCTGCTCCTGAGACGGCTCTGGAGTCTCGGCCGTGGGAAGCCTCCTGTGTCCGTGAGATCCTCTCTTTTTCCTCTTCACTCCAAAGCAATCTCAACTTCATTGCTGCAAACCCCTCCTTGTAAAATCATCGTGGCTGAGTCTTGTGGTGGGGGTCTCGGAAAACTTGTGGTTATGTATCTCAATGAACTTGAGTGCACTGACGTGGAAAAGAAGGTTCCTTTGGAGTTAGTTGATGACGAAGACGCAAAAAAGATAACAATAGGGGCATCCCATGGCTGGATAGCTACTCTGAAGGAAGATGGAGTCCTGCGTCTCCAAGACGATCTCAACCCTGTGGCATCGGATACTAATCCGAAACGCATCCCTCTGCCTCCTCTTGTGACTCTGCCTCATTGCCAAACCCAAATCATCACCAACGTGTCAATGTCATCATCTTCTCCAGGGGATGATGAGGACTGTGTCGTGGCCGTCAAGTTCTTGGGACCTCAGCTCAGCTTTTGCAAACCAGCTGGTAAACCGGAGTGGACCAACATCAAGATCGAAAACCCCTCCTTCGTCTCCTCCCGTGTCATGTTTTCCAAGAAAAACGAGTTGTTTCACATTCTCGGAGATGGAGGCAACCTCATTGGGTCATGGGATCCCAACAATCCCAGCGGCGACCCCAAAATTTCAGAGTGAGATTTAAAAACATGCCCAAGCTGAGCAAGGCTAAACAGAATCTGATGGATATGTGCTGCAGGAGCCAGCATTTGGTGGAGTCACGACCCACGGCTGAAACTTTCTTAGTCAAGCAGTACAAGAAAACTATCAAGATCACCAAGGCTGGTATTACCCGAATGAGAACCAAAGCTTTAATGGTGTTTAAGCTAGACGAAGAAGGAAACGCTGTTTATACTCAAGACATCGGAGATCTCAACATGTTCCTCTCACTGTCTGAACCTTTTTGTGTCCCTGCTACTTCCTTTCCCGGCTTGTACCGTAACATTGTCCATTTTGATGATTTCGACGAATCAGGTTATGTCCTTCTGAATGCATCCTATATCGGGAAATCATCCCATATCTATAGTAGATCTTCAAATTGCAGGGCCCCTTACGACATTCCACCACAAAATATTGTCGACTCTTAGTTTTGGATTCTGAGTCTGTTTTTTTCTTTCTCATTCTTCCATATAATTGATATGGATATGCTCATGGAGGAGTATTTACTTGATAACATCCATCTTCCAGCTAATTACTTTATAGACAAAGTAAAAACAGAGAATAAAGCAACTTGTTACAAAGTTGATAATGCTTCATGCAGTACAATGAAGATAATGGATCATTTAACCTTTTTCTCCTTGCAATATTATATATTCAGATTCCTCATACAAAGTCACTTGGTAGTTTCAATCTCTCATATTGTAAAAAAAAAAAAAATGTTAAAAAAAAAAATGTTAATAGGACTAACACCAATCTACAGAACGCATTATCTTTCTGAAAACTCACCACAAGGTAGTGCTATATTCTCAATCAGATTTGATATCTAAACATAACTCAGAGAATAATAGACAGAAATTTCTCTTCATCTTACCAATGAGCCTAGTGAAAAGACTAGGAGGAGGAGAGAGGAAGGAGATGGTAAGGAGATGAAGAAGCCTGGTGCTAAAATCGATGGTAAGCAGAAAATCTAGTTGAAGGGAAAGCAAGGAGTTTGACAAGGACCAGAATTATATGAAGTATAAGAGCATCAGCAATGCCGGTACTCTTTTGCTCGATAACTAAGATAATTTTTTTCACTATTTTATTCTTTTTTCAGTTTCCTTTTTTAAAAAAAAAAACAATCGTAGGCTCACACGTGATGGTGGGGTCTGCGCACAGTAACGTACCTGCCAGAAAATTGATCCTTATCAGAGGATTGCAAGAGTTTTTGTTGACACCAAATCTAAAAAAACGTGGAACCTACACTATTTTATAATAATTTTTTTGTGCTAAGAATTCTTGTATTTTGCCCATTGGAGGTGGTCTAAAGACATCAAAAGAGACAAAGGTTTTAGATGATGTCTCTGATAAACACACATAATGTCTTTGTATGTAAGGGGGAATCTGTAATTTTGCTATATCTAAGTGTAGACTTTTAAAACAGTACAAGATTTTAACCCATATTTAAGAAATGCGGGTATTTTTTGTGATCGTAAAGTAAACTATTTGACAAATAAATTTATGTCTATTATTAGATATCTATAATCTTTAAAATCTGTTGTATTATAATTATTTGTATAATGTTTTCATTGAGTTTTCATATCCGAATAAGACTTCTGGTCGAACATAGAGATTCAGTTACTCATATATAGTGAGGGTATGATATAATAAAACAAATATGGTAAAAATATCTTAAAATCAAAAAGACCCTTAACCAAATGAGAAGAATATAATTTTTATTTTTATTTTAAAATTGTTGATAACTTAATATATATTTGACTTGTATAAGACACTATTTATTTTTACGTAATAGTCATCTTTATTAACAAAACAAAACAAATCAAAGGATATATCTACTTAGTATATTCTCAATATATTATTTATCTGATATGATATTGTTATACAATATCTACTCTATTAAAATAGAGTCGTTCTTTTTATCTACTGATACAAGTTGTCATTTAAATTTGGACTCTTTCTAGAATGTTACAAATAATATAAGTCATATAATTGATTGAACCGTATTATTTAAATTAAACCAACACAATTTATGTAAAGAGACGACCTTAATGTAAACTACTTTCAAAATATGGCAGGTATCTATGTGTATACCGAAAACACATATTTTCTCCTACAAATATGGAATGTTCAAAAAGAATATATATATCATCAAAATATGGAAATCTACTAATTATACTTAAATTAAACCAGTGGTTATTTATGGAATATAATTTTGGGCATACTTTTATTTTTTGAACAAATTATATAGTTTGGTTTTTGTGCTTAGTATTAAGAAAAAAACTCTAAAAACATTGAAGAAACTTTTCACCTTAAAAGATAAAAAAATCAATTATTATTTTCAGACTCAAAAGGTATTTAATATTTTTAACAAAACAAAATTATCTATTATTAATCATTTATTTAAATCATGTACTTTAAAACATGTTAATATATTTTTTATTCTAAATAACAATCACTTTGTTTTGATAAATTTCAATGGTAACTTTTAAATAATTTATTGTTTTATTTTTCTTAAATAATATACTGATTAAAAAAATGTAAAACAAAACCAAAAACCAAATCTAAAAACTAAAATCCAAAACCAAAAGCTTAAAACACATGTTATATTTTTTTCCTTTGTTTATTTACAAAATAAACTATTTCAATTTTTTTTTTAATTTGTTGACATCTTTTTCAGTTTTGAATTAGATGTTCGATTATTTGAGATTTGTTTGTTGGTAATATTAGTTCAAACTAACTCAGCGGGTTTAAAAATTAAAAACCCAAACCAAAAACTGAAAATGAAAATGAAAAGTAGAAACTTAAAAACTAAAAACCAAAAACCAAAAACCAAAATCTAAAAATAAAAAACTGAAACTAAAAACTAATGAAAATTTTATATCAAAAATATTCTTTAAACTAAGACAAAACCCAGTTATATAAATTTTTAATCATAAAAATTTCCGTGCTTTCAAGCGCGGATGGAAATCTAGTATTCTTTATTTTAAAACCAGCCTTGGTGATCTTGATAGTTTTCTTGTACTGCTTGACTAAGAAAGTTTTTTTGTTTTGGTAGTATGCAGGAGACGCAGGTCCCCTACTTTTTATTTAAAGTAAAAACAATCACAGGCAAATTTGCCGAGTTCTCGTGACCCCATTGTCATCTTCCAAAAACAAATGAGCAACAGGCTCAGGAACACTATCAAAGTAATGCAAACCAAAAGGTAAAGAAACCGCATAGTTAGCTAATCCATCTGCTAGATGATTAGCTTCCCTATACACATGAGAAAACTTGACTAACCAGTCTCTTGATCGAAAGCCATGGCACAAATGTACCAGGAATGACAAAGGGTGAGCATCATGAATCCCTGTCTCCAAAAAATCCACTACACACTTCGAATCCACTCCTACCTCCACTCGCCGAAACCCGCAGTCCCAAGCTATGCAAAGACCGTAGTAGACCCCCCATAGTTCCGCTAAAGGTGCAGAACAGATGCCTATAGTAAAACGTGTCCGGGTTTAATCAAATATATTGTTAACTGTTAAACAATATATTGTTAACTTTCTTAGCCTAAGCAATGTTGTTTTTAGGTTTTGAATAAGTGATTCAGATACTGAGTTATAAGTTTTTTTTGGTTCATGAAGAGATGACATCGTAAGCTATGGTGTATACAGTTGATTTTTTCATCTACTTTAAACAGAAGTAATACAGCGACATGTTTAAAAGATATAAAACGACGATGGCAGGTTATGGTATAAAACTAGCAGTTAAACAAGCAGGTTGATAATTTATAGCAGGTCCGGCCCAGTATTTTTTTTAGGCCAGAAGTACTAAAAGAATTTGGACTTGTCATTGAATAACTTTTAAAAAGAAAAAAAAAATAGAACCAAAACACGAACCTTGCACCTGTAATTTAGCACCTTAACCGATAAACCAACTATACTACCGAAGATTCTTATAGAAAAATGTCAATTTTTTATATAAATTTTACAAGGCTGGAAGCACAAGCTTCCTTTACTTGTACCCAGAGCCGCTAATGTTTATAGTCAACAGTGGATCAAATAATTTATAGTCGATGGGCTATCAAAACTATTAGAAATGATCATTTATATAATTATGTAACCGATTTGATAATTAGTGAAAACATAGACATTAGTAATTATTAATGCTGGTCACATGGTGTTATAATATATAGGAAAAATAAAAGGAAAGGATCTAAACAACTTTTATATGTAGATTTTTAGGATTTTTTCTTATTTAATAGTATTGATTTTTTTTTGATAAATTTTACATAATCTAAACAAGATATGTAGTCACTCAAGTTATGCTCCCGAATCGGCATCAAAACTAGAATTAATTGTATGATGCATTGAATTGATTAGGGAGGAATATAAAATAACGAGAGCAGCACGACTGATCAAAGGAACAAATGACTTTTAAAGCAGTATTGTAACCAACTCTTGGAGAATTTATTCATGTTGAGTCTATTCTAATGTCTTATTCCAATATAAATGGAGTTTTTTAATTTATTATTTTATTTTGGCTCAAAGACAAGTTTTCATCTCACGATTCTTGGTACAAAACTAATGACCACACAAGATTTCGACCACATATACAATGAAGTAGTCTAGTTACACCTGATTCACTACTTGGAACCAATGCAACCTAACATTTTTCATTGTATTTATCAACCACGGTGGAAGGAAAAGCCGACTCCACGGCCAAGACCACTGCGCACCACTGCGTCCTGACTCCAGAACAAAGCCGAATGAATAGCAACTCCAACGAACCGCGAGCGGTCACCAGAATAAAATAAGAGACGCCTGACCAGAGTCCAGAACAAAGCGATAGTGGAGGGGAAGTGACTGGGGAGCAAAGACGAAAACATAGCAAGGAAGAGGCAAGCATCCGGCGGCTTGATGCACACGTACGCGGTGGACAACGCAGGAGCAGATCTGAAAATTTGGTTGGTTGTTCTTTGTCGCTGAAATTTACAAGTTTAAGTGTACATATTTAGTTAGATTCCTCATATTCATTTGGATACTATAGCTGCAAAAGGGTTTTGTGCACTAGATTTCTCATTTTTCTTTGGACTCAAGAGTCAAATATTAAGAATACCGATAATCATACTGAGAAGCGGTCAAAGGCGTAATAGAGATAATCATGGTGTTGGATACAACAGTGATGATGCTTGTGGTGACAACATTAAAGATGGAAAACATAAGGTAGATAAATTCAGAGATTGACTTTTCCAATGTATGATTATAGTAAACTGATTGATGCAAAACATGTATATATAACGTATGATTATAATAAATTTACTGATGTAGCACCAATATTTTTTTACGAAAAAGTCACATATATAACCAATCTCAAGAGAGTTAAACAAAACTTTAATTTAATTTACAATCATAAATTTTATTAGTTATAATACAAGTTGTTAGGCGG